TCGATGGTCTGTGAGAGCTCATCTTGCAAGATGCTGCGATACAGCGGCCCATCCATCCGTCCATCTATCTTGCACGTGAACCCCACCCCCTCATACGTCATGCAACCCCACACCATCACAGATCCGCCCCCATGCTTAACTGTCTGTTGGACTTGATGGCTCTGGAGGTTGGTGCCATCGCGAATCCAGGCGTACGCACGTCCGTCGGAGCAAAAACGGTTTATCTTAGTCTCATCAGACCAAATCACGTGCTTCCAGTCCTCCATCGTCCACTCGGCATGCGACCTCGCGAATTCGAGGCGATCACGTATGTTTCTCACAGAGAGCCTGGGTTTCTTGGGCTGCTGCACAGCGATCAAGCCCGTGGATCGTAACGAGTTCCTGACGGTCTTCGAATCTACAGCCAGAGCGTGCTTCTCCTCTAACAACTTTGCGGGGTCTACTCTGCTTTTCACCTCCCCACTGGTAATCGCTCGAACTATTCCGCGCTGGAGGCGGGTTGTGATTAAGCGTGGGCGGCCAGGCGTGGGCATCGTGAGTCGCACCTCATCGCGACTAGTCTCGGCAATAGCCTTCAGACTGTAATCATGCACGGTGCTCTTGCCTATGCCAAGTACTTTGGCTATTTTCCTAGTCAAATGCCCATGGCGCAACATGCTTATGATTCGAGCGCGCTTCTTGTCATCTACCGGCTTCATCGTGATGCGGTCGTAGGTTCGCTTATGGACTCACTCCTAGACTAGCAACTGTTGCGCGAGACGATGTGTACCCTAAATGACGAGCGAAAATAGATCTAGTCTGTCGCTCGGTATGAACTGTCCGGATCGACTGCCGAGGAGTAAATCTCAACCTCGCTTTTTGGTTGTGTCACAATCGCGCCAAGCTGGATACGGTTGAAATAGAACTCGAGTGCCTTGTAACAGGACCGGAAAAAACTGGTGTTACTACATTCGAAGCATATAGCGATAAGTTTCGGAGTGCTAAACATCCAGACAATTTTTTCCATCATTGTAAATCGGTGAGCAGGAATGTCAGCCTGGGAAGCTCCTGAGCAGCCATAGCTCCAGCGTAGATCTCAGCCTTGCAGTTCGACTCTGCCATGGTCGACGACCGGGTGGACCTTCAAAAGACAACACCTGTCCTAAGGCTAAAGCAATAGCTCTGTGACGACCAGAGTCTCTCGAGGTCGTCAGCTCATGACACGTCAGTGTGCCATGAGAGGACAAATGGGGCACGTCCTCCGAGCACAAGCCCCAAACCTGATGTTCTCGTTAGATACTGCAATACCCTCTTAGCGATAGACCAATGCTGTGGTATGTGTCTGCCAGTCGCAACGAAGAAAGGGAGAATTATGAGAGGGTACGCAAGATCTGGGCAAGTGCATGTCATCAGGAACATGAGGCTGTCGAGTGACCCGCTGGGGTTACCCTTGAGAACATCCTCGGGGAAGGGCCACAGGTGCAGAGCCTGGGGGGCTACTGGCGCACTGACTCGCTATTAACAAACCCTTTGACTCAGTGGTTAGTGGCTGAGTTTTTGACATGGTTTCAGAGCGTTGGTGACTCGGGTTCGATTCCCAGTGCTAGTGCTGCAGAGGTGCTTGTGTCTTCCACCTATCCCAGCAAGGGGGGGTGTCGAGTGACCCGCTGGGGCTACCCTTGAGAAGATCCTCGGGGAAGGGCCACACGTGCAGAGCCTGGGGGGCTATGGGTGCACCGACCCGCTATTAACAAGCCCTTTTAACTCAGTGGTTAGTGGCTTGGTTTCTGACATAGGCAACCCACAAGTTCAGCAGAAGGACCACTGGGCTCAACTGGCTTACTAGAGGGAGGAGCTGAGAGCTTGTGATCCTGAGCTAGAGGGGTGGGCTGTGCTGAGGAGATCTGGAGACTGGACCTCTGAAGAATCTGCTGCACCATGTGGGACTCGGAGAGGGTGAGTGTGCGGGCGGCATGGTCACGAGAGATCTCCAAACCCAGATAGCGCCGCAACTCCCACAGGTCAATGCAGGTGTGCCTCCTAAGTAGCTCGGCCTTCACTGGGGCCAAAGCGTCTCTGTCAGGAGTAGCAAAGATCCGATCGTCTACGTACACTAGGATATAGAACAGGATCTGACCAGCACGAACAAAGAGCGAGGGGTCAGCTGAGGCACGGAAGAACTGGAGGGCTGCTAGCGTGGTGCGGAGAGTGTCGTGCCACTTACGTGGTGCCTGCCGTAGACCGTATATAGGACGTCTCATGCTCCAGTGGGTCCTAGATGGGAAGGACCAAGAAAAGCCTAGTGGACATCTTATTGTAGGTAGATCTGCTCGTAGTCTGCGCAGCTAGGTAGAGGAGCATCCGAAGAGAAGTCACCTTCAGGGTAGGGAAGAAGGTCTATAAGAAATCTACACCTTCCCGATGACTGAAGCCTCTAGCCATGTAACGCGTCTTGAACTTCGGCGGCTCTCCAGGTGCGCGCTTCACCCTGTAGATCCACATGCCATCCACTACGTTCGCCCTAGGAGGGGGAATTGCGTCGACGTAAGTGCCTGTGGATCTGTAGGATGCCATACCAGCCTCCATGGCCTGTATCCATTGGGCTGCCTAGGGCCGCGACACCGCCTCAACGTAAGAGCGCGGGATCCAAGTCACCCTCAAGGGATACCAGCATGACGCCGAGATAGGGTACAGCGGCAGAGAGGTAAGCCAACTACAGCAAGGTGAGAAAGAGGCAAGGTCGGAGAAAAGAAATGGCAGCAAGAGACGACCTAGGGTAGCAGAGGAGTGGGTAGAGTATCAAGCGATAACTGCGTCTCGGATTTCCTTAGCAGACTTGAGAGTCTCAAAGTGGGTCTGAATGTCTAAGAGAAGGGCTCTAGTGAGTACCAGTTGCGCAGCTACGTCGTGGGACTCCCAGACAGAGGAGGCGGCCAGGGCAGCATCGTGC